AATCTGTCATTGTGGTTTCGTAGGTGTCTGGGTGGGGGTGTCTGGAAGGTCACTTTTGTAGGGCTCCTGGCAGTGACCCTGATGCTGGGAAAGATTGAAGTCTGGAGGAGAAGGGGACAACAGAGGATGAGATGGTTGGAAGGCATCACCAACTCAATGGACATGAGTTTGAGCAAGCCCCAGGAATTGCTGATGGACAGGGAAGCCTGGTGTGCTGCAGTCCATGGAGTTGCAAAAGGTCGGATGTGACTGAGCGACTCAACTGAACTGGTAGTGACCATTACTCCAGGACCATGGAACTGTTTACATTGTCATCATATCCTCTGGGGAAGTCTGTTATGGAGGATCTCTAGAAAGGGTAGCTCCTTAACTGTAGGCATCTCATCCCCCTACAGGATCCCACTTCGAAGAGTCAACACTGGATTCAAGGCCCTGAACCCACTGAGGGGATGGGAGAAGCTAGCGGAGCCCCCCAGTTTGGGGGCTCCATCCCCTGGGAACAAGACCTTCTTTGTGCCTCTCTCCAATTATATGAACGTAGGTCACAGCCCTACACAGGCTGCCACCACCACCCCCCCACTTCCCCCAGCCCCCACCCCAACCTTCCTGCCCTGAAGTCAAGCTCTTCATCCACAACCTCTCCTGTTTTGCCATCAGGCCCAGTATTATGGGGAAATTGGGCTGGGGACCCCCCCACAAAACTTCTCTGTCGTCTTTGACACTGGCTCCTCCAACCTCTGGGTTCCATCTGTGAGATGCCACTTCTTCAGTCTACCCTGCTGTGAGCTTTAATGGGGGAAATTAAGGTTGAACTCGGGTAACGGGAGAAGGAGGGCTGGGCCTGGTCTTCCCAGGATTTTTGAGGACCTGTTCTCTTCCGACACACCCTCACAGGTGAGTCGGCAAGAGGGGCAGGAGGCACCGGGAAGACCTCTCTTCCCCAGTGACGTCTCCTTGACCCTCTAACCTAGGGCTCCACCACCGCTTCAACCCCAAAGCCTCCAGCTCCTTCCGGTCCAATGGGACCAAGTTTGCCATTCAATATGGAACCGGGCGCCTAGCCGGCATCCTGAGTGAGGACAAGCTGACTGTGCGTGACCTTGTTCCCGGGACGGCCGGAGCCTAGAAGCAGCCGATTTCTACGATTATCTGGTTTAGGGAGGGGTTTGGGGAGGCGGGGCCTCCTGAGTAAACAGACAGACGCAGCTTGGAAGTGGGAGGCGGAGCTTCCTGGAGGAAGGAGGGTGGGGCTGGGCCTCCTAGGCAGGGGTAGGCCTTTGCCAGGCAGAGCTACTTAGGCAGTTGGAGGGGTTCACAGCTCCAGGGGGTTTTGAGGACCCGACCTGGGATTCATGCCTTGGTTTGGGAGACCTGAGTTATGTAGGTAACATCCTCCTGAAAGTAACTCACTCCTTTTGAATCTACCCCAGATTGGAGGAATCACAGGTGCAACAGTGACTTTTGGGGAAGCTCTGTGGGAGCCCAGCCTGGTGTTCATTTTTGCCCACTTTGATGGGATACTGGGCCTCGGTTTTCCTGTTCTGGCCGTGGGAGGAGTTCGGCCCCCGCTGGACAGACTGGTGGACCAGGGCCTACTGCATAAGCCTGTCTTCTCCTTCTACCTCAACAGGTAACGGGCGAGGGTCTACCTTCCTCTAAGTCCTAGTCCCAAGGAGGAAGCCCTGCCCTCCTTCAGGAAGTCCCTTGCCCAATAAAGGAAGTCCCGCCCTCCATTCAGGAAGTCACTGTCCCAATAGGAGAAACACCTGAACCCTATTCAGAAGTTCCACTCGCTAAGCAACACCTTGAGACCTACCAAAAAAAATTCACCATCATTTAAAATGTTTCATGTTTCAAAGCTCAAATCAGGAAATTCCATGCCCTACCCCATCAAATACTGAATTTAAGAACCCCATCTTCAGCATAAAGAAATCCCAATTCCATTTGGGAACACACATCAGAAGTTAGGAATTGCCCCGTTTTAACCTAAGAAGTCCCATCTACCCTTTAGGAAGCTTACACCTTACACTCAAAAAGCTCCAGCTGTCATTCAGGAAGTCTGCCAGGAGGAAATTCTATGTCTTTAGTTATCTGGATGTCCAACCCAAGAAATCCCACCCAGTTTTCTTCTTTCTGCCTGGGTCAGCATAGTTCCCCGACCAGGGATCAAACCAGTGACCCTTGCAGGGTCATGCAAGGGGATGCACGGAGTCCTAACCACTGGACTGCCAGGGAATTCATCCACCTAACACTTAGTAGATCCTGTCCTTCCACACTTCTGGGAAGTCCCCACCCCCTACACCCCCCACCCCCCACCCCGTTCCCATCACTCTCAGCCAACCGAAGAAGTCTAATTCCACTGAATGTCTACACATGCAATTCAGAAAGTCTCATCATCCACCTGGGGTGCCTCACTCCTCTCAATCATGCCACCCAGAGCCAATTCAGAAGTCTCAATGCTCTACTCCCCCCAAAGTCCTGCTTTCTATGAGCAAATCAAGAAGTCCCATGCCCACTTCAGGAAGCCCCCCAAGACCCTGAAATCCTAACCTCCCCCAAGAAAATCCCCATTTCTCTTCACTCCTTGCCTTGCTTCCAGTCCCCACACTGAGGTCCTGTCTGCATCCTACTATCCCACCTAGATCCCAGACATCACCCCTTTGGCAGGAAGTTCCTCCCTTGGCCATTCTTGGGGCTGACAGGAGAAATTCCCATGACACCTACAACTGTCTGCCTCTGCAGGAACCCTGAGGCAGCTGACGGAGGAGAGCTAGTCCTGGGTGGCTCAGACCCAGCACACTACATCCCACCCCTTACCTTTGTGCCAGTCATGATCCCCGCTTTTTGGCAGATCCACATGGAGCGGTGAGGAACCTGGCCTCCTAGGTCTGGAAGGAGTGGGCTAGAGCCTAAACTCCAGTGTCCTGAGGAAAAGGGAGTTGGGGATCCAGATTCCCTAGGTCTGATGGAGGAGGGGTTGTGGGCCTGGACTCCTAGCTCTGAGGGAGGAGAGGGCTGGGGGTCTTGCCTCCTAGGATGCCGGCTCTAATGACTGCCCATTTCTTCCTCACAGTGTTCAGGTGGGCACAGGGCTGACTCTCTGTGCCCGGGGCTGTGCTGCCATTCTGGACACAGGCACATCTCTCATCACAGGACCCACTGAGGAGATCCGGGCCCTGCAGAAAGCCATTGGGGCAATCCCCCTGCTGATGGGGGAGGTGAGGACCTGGTGGCTGGTGCACGTGGGCTGGGGAGACTCACAGGGATTTAACAGTGGTCACTGTACAGGATGCTCTGGCCTGAAGGTGGGAATCAGATGGGTAAGAGGGCATCCCAGGGCAGAAAGCACTGGACCTTGTGAGTGAGAGGTTGGGGGGCTAGTGGGAGGAAGCAGACACCTCCTTAGAGTCTTATCCTGAGTGTCACAGTGTATAGGAGAGGACGGTGACCCAGGTTTACTGGATGAGAGTGAGTGAACATGATGAGTGTAAGACCAATTACAAATACCTGCAGGCCCAATATGGCCCGTGGGCCACCAGTTTTTGATTTTCAATTAAAGGAAAAGAGGACCTGGTCAAATGGGAGCCTAGGATAAGTGGCAAGAATTATACAGGAGTAAGGAAGAGCCAGTAAGGCTACATAATACAGTAGAGCCTGACCACACAAGGTCTTTAACACCTAGTTGCCCAAAATGGACATGACCCTGCTGCACTGGGGAGCCACAGAAAAAATTTGAGCCGAGAAGGAATCCTTCATCTCGGACTTGTTCCTCTTTTTCCTAAGTACTACATCGAGTGCTCGAAAATCCCAACGCTCCCCCCAGTCTCCTTCCTTCTTGGGGGGGTCTGGTTTAACCTCACGGCCCAGGACTACGTCATCCAGGTAGGTGGCCGTCACAATGACGCCAGAGTGACGACTCTGGAAGGGTGGGGCTGGGAGTGAGACGTCACTACGTCCAAGCAGGCGGCACAGAAACATATCTAGTGGTGGGCAGGGCGATGCTCCGGCTTGTAGGAGAAAGGCAGGCCGGTGGCCGTGACACCTGTGACTGGTCTTATCGCCTTGTAGATTACTCGGAGTGGCTTCAGTGTCTGTTTGTCTGGCTTCGCGGCTCTGGACGTGCCTCCGCCCTCAGGGCCCTTCTGGATCCTCGGTGATGTCTTCTTGGGTAGCTACGTGGCTGTCTTCGACCGTGGCGACAGGAAAAGCGGCGCTCGAGTGGGTCTGGCCCGCGCTCGACCTCGAGGACCAAGACAGTGAAGGGGCGAGCTTGCGCAGGCGCAGGCGCAGTCCTTCGGTTGAGGCCCTGGTTAAGCGCATGCGCACTCCCTGATAATAAAAAAAATTTTACTATTTACCTCAAACTTACCGAGGTCGCTTCCTTTTTTTTTTCTTTCTTTTTTTAGGGGGAGAAAAAAAGTTAGTGTCCGGCTTTCTGGAGTTGAGACAGAAAGGCATTGCTCCTTGTCTCCCAGATCACACAGGTGGGAGGACCTTGTACTACGAAGCCCATGAAGCCCCTCGCCTACACTGCCTCTTCTCAAAGGCAGCCGACGCCGCAGAGCATCACGGACGTTGTAGTCTGAGCGGTGTTCACGCGCTGACGTGGGCGGGCGTAGCCACAACACGCGTAGGAAGCGACAGGTCGCGACCGCAACGACAGGTGGCAGTGGGGGGGTGGGGGTGGTGTCTGAAACCGTAAAGGGTTTCCCAACCTTTCTTCTAAGAGGAGGGCATACCATTCCCGCACACTTTATCTCCTGTTCCTCCTCTCGACCTTTGGGATTTCGGGACCCCTGGGTACGCCATAAAGGCGGGGCTTGAAGCCCCCGGGTGGGTGGGGGGAGCTGAGCCGCCCCTCCTCCAGCGATGATGTCACACCCCCCCCCCCCCCCCAGCCTCTAGCGGCCGGGAGCTTGCCCGGGCTGGGTCACCCCTCCCCCCATCGCCAGCCCCGGATTCCCTCATCCCCGCCCCGCCTCGACTTGGGGTGAGTACGGAGGAGGGGTGGGGGGAGAAGGCTCAGGGTCCGGGGGTGGTAAGACAGCCCAAGTCCCAGTTTTGAAGGCGGGGGACAAGGGAGACGGGGACTCAAAGATTACAGCGGAGAGGTACTTGGAGGGTCTCTCGGAGGGATCAAGGATCAGAGTCAGAGAGTTCCCTCCCACATTTTCAACCTTAGTGCCCGGCGTAGACTGTCCGTCCTGGATTTGGATCTGGTAGGAGTGTGGGCGGAGGAACAAGGAAGGGGTCTTGGAAGTCAGAAACAATTCCAGGGCTTTGGGGAATGAGAGAGGGAGAGTTAGGAGGGGGCGCCAAGGATGACGAGGGTGAGAGTTTGGGGCTTTCAGGAATTTTGTGTCTTGAAGGCCTGAGAAAGGATAGATTGGGAAGGAAGAGGGGTGGGGAAAGGGTTTGAAGACGTGAACAGACATTGACCTCCCCTCCCCTGGTGTCTGTCGCCAAAAATCGAGTCCACTTCCCTCTGGTCTGTTTGCCAAGCTGGTGTCCCATAACTCAAGCCCTCGTTATGCCGTCAGAAGCCTTCCGTATGGATGGAGAATCCAGGCTCATAAATCTCCCCGCATACCCCGGTGGGGCCTGGAGAGGGCCACATGGAAGTGAGGGCATCCACATTTCCTGGGGCCCGATGGAATCTGGATCATACTTGACCGAACCTCTTCCCCTCATCCCATGGTCTCTAATCCCGAGTTTCATTCCATATTCTCCCCTATTCCAGCCTCCTCGCTTCTTCCTCCTCCCCTCCCTTCTGCCCGGGCACCTTCTTCCACACCTTCTGACCTCTGCAAAAACGCTGATTTGGTAACTTGATCCAGTGCCTGGCTGCTGTCAAATGCAGAAAAGTATAGAGTTGGGGCGGGGGTGGGGTATAAGGGGTGATACTTGACTTAGGTCCTTACCCCAGAGCTTACTCCCAGCCCCTAATGCCCACTCAACCCCTGCCCTAGCATCCATCACCACTCCCACCTGCCCCCAAAGCCTCACTCAACCCAAGCCCATTCCTTCACCTCAGGATTCACAGCTTCTGCCTAGGGATACACAGGAATTTGGAGCAGAGAAGAGTAGAAGTCCCGATGTCCTCCCGGGTCTCATGGGAGCTTGAGGACTGCCCGAGAACACTGGGTCAGGGGGTAGTGGGGGATCCTAGGTCTGGGGGTGGGAGAGTCGAAGGAAACTACCTCCCAGGTCCGCAGGATGGGCCCCACTTCTGCAACTCTGCAGTGACGCAGCCTCGAGACCTGGCCAGGGTGAGGGTTAGAGAGGGTGATGCAGTGGGAGCCGGAAAGAGAGGGACAGAGATGCAGGAAAGGGACAAAGGCCAAAGGACAGCAGGACAGAGCCCCAAAGAAGCGGGGACCAAGAAAAAGGGGGACAGATTCAGAAAGGGGTCAAAGAGGCACAAGTGGGAGGGGGTAGAGACCCAAGAGAGGAAAAGAGAGAGAGGACAGAAAGAGAAAAGGCAGTGACAGAGGGGCAAAAGAGACGGAGGAGGGGGAAAAGACACAGGGAAGGAGGTGGTCAGAGAACAAGAGCTGGGGGGACAGAGACCCAGAGAGAGGAGGGGGGAGGCCCTGGGGCGAGGGGAGTATTGAGGACAGGAACACAAAGAAGAAGGACACAGACAGGAGGGAAAAGAGACCAGAGAGAGGAGTTCAGGAACCCAAGAGAGGAGAAAGAGGCCAGAGAGAGAGAGAAATCAGAAAAAGGCAGAGGCCAAGAGAAAGACATTGAGGGTGGGGAGACCCCGCCATGGTCCGGGGAGAGGAGACTGAAGCTTAGAGAGCAAGAGGTAAGTCTTAGAGGTAAGACTCAGAGGAGGGGGACAGAGACCCCAGAGGGAGCGCAGAGACTTAGAATGGAGGGGCCAGAGTCTCAAAGGAGTAAGGGCAGAGGCGGGGGTACAAATATTCAGAGAAAAAGAGACTTTGATGAGAGACACAGAAGCCGGAGCGGGGATGGGTAAGGAGGCGATACCAACCAGCCGCCGCACCTGCCGGGGATATGCAGAGCGGGGAGGCCCGCAGCCCCTGACCAGCCCCCTTCCCTCCCACAGGCACCGCCTCCGGCCGTCGCAGCCCCAGCCGCAGCCGCTGGCCCCGCCCCTGCCCCGCGCCTGCGCCCTAACACCCGGCCGTTAGGCCCGCCCAGGGGGCGGGGCCGGACCGCTGCTAGGCGGTCCGCCTAGTTCTGGTCCCGCCCTCTATTGGCCCCGCCCCGATCTACCTGCCCTCTCTGCCGGACGCTCTGACACCTGACTCCGCCCAATTTCCTATCGGCCCCGCCTGTTGCCTCAGCCTAGACTGTACTTCCCAGTGTTTTATTAGTTTTTCCCCTCTGCCTCCCTTAAGACTCTCTTCACCAGTTCTCATCCATTCCTCGGTTCTCCTGGCTGCAGTCTGCCATTATCTATACCTTGTCCCCTTTCCCTCACCGCGTTCTCCCTTTTAAGGCCCTGCTGACCCTTAGGACTCTCTCCCAGGTTATTTGGCCTCCAAGATTTCCCGTTCTAGGTTCCACCGCTCCGTCCATCCCTATAGCCTTGTACTCTTTGCAGGTCTCACATTTTCCTTAGCCATTCTCTACACTCTTAGCCCTGCCCCGCCCCCGCCTACCCTGGTTGCTTTCAAGACCCTTAAAGCCCCTCTCCTCTCTTAGTCTTGCATTTCCACAGGCAATTCAAGACGTTTACTACCATTCGTGGACCCCACCCACCTCTCTCAGTCTCTTCCCATCCATCCTGGCATTCTTCCGGTCCAGCCCCGGTTAATCGGGCCGAGTTTGCAGCTCCGACCCGGTACTTTCTTTACCTGTCCTCCTCCATTAGACCTAGTCAGAAGCTCTCAGGTTTCCAGGCCTCGCCCCATTCCGTCCCCTCTCTACTGGGTCTTAGTCCCTGTTCCCCTTTCTCTGTTCCTTTTCAGTTCAGCCCAGTGCCACTCATTTCCAGTTCCCGCCCCTCGCTCAGTCCCGCCCTCTCATCCTCCCAGAATTAGGACTTTCTGATTTCTGTGGCCCTGCCTCTTCTTAAGATCCGCCCCGCCCCGTCCAAGCAATGTTAGGATCCCAACCCGGCAGTCTCCATCTGCCCCACTCCACCAGGTACTGCTTGCCGGCTCTTTAGGCCCGTCTCTATCCAATTCGGACGGCCATCCGCCTTGTGGCCCAAGCCCTGCCTCCGCTGGTCTCGGACCGTCAGGCTCCTTTAAATAGCTTGGACAAGTTCTATTCCTCTACCCGCCCCGCTCCTTTTTTTAGTTAAATCAGATCTCTTTCTCACATCTAGCCCCGCCTCCTCTGTTCTCCTAGTGCGGCCAAACCAGGCAACTTTCTCCTCCCATCCAGCCCCTTTAACACCTCGCTCGGCCCCGCCCCTTATCTCAGAAAGACCCAATCGGTGTGCAGCATGTGCGGCCCCGCCCCGTCCAGCTAGGCAGTGTTGGAGTCTGGGGCCTTTTCCCAGTTTCAGCCCCGCCCCCTCCCCTTCAAAAACCAATCAATTCAGTTCCTCCCTCCCTTTGGCTCCGCCCCTTTCCTCCATCACCTCCTCTCACCCAGTCACATCTCTCTCCCCCCCGTGGCTCCGCCCCTACAACGCCCCGCCCCTGCCGCTCCGCCCCCCATCCAATGCTGAGCTCAGTCTGCGTCTCGTCCTTCCGCGGGCGCCAGGCGGCTAGCAAACAGCAGCCGGCGCCGGCGCCGCAGCCGTCCGAGTCCCCGCCACCGCTGCCCTCGCCGCCGCCGCCACCGCCGTTGCTGCAACAGCAGCAACCTGAGCACGGCGGCGGCCATGGGGCGGCACGGCGGCGGCGGTGGCGACAGTGGCAAGATCGTGATCAACGTGGGCGGCGTGCGCCATGAGACGTACCGCTCGACGCTGCGCACCCTGCCGGGGACGCGGCTGGCCGGCCTGACGGAGCCCGAGGCGGCGGCGCGTTTTGACTACGACCCGGGCGCCGATGAGTTCTTCTTTGACCGGCATCCGGGTGTCTTCGCTTACGTGCTCAACTACTATCGTACGGGCAAGCTGCACTGCCCGGCCGACGTGTGCGGGCCGCTCTTCGAGGAGGAGCTAGGCTTTTGGGGCATCGACGAGACCGACGTGGAGGCCTGCTGCTGGATGACCTACCGGCAGCACCGGGACGCCGAGGAAGCGCTCGACTCCTTCGAGGCACCCGACCCTTCGGGCGCCGCCAACGCTGCCAACGCCGCGGGCGCCCACGACGCGGGTCTGGACGACGAGGCGGGAGCGGGCGGCGGTGGCCTGGACGGCGCCGGCGGCGAGCTCAAGCGCCTCTGCTTCCAGGACGCAGGCGGAGGCGCCGGGGGCCCGCCAGGGGGCGCGGGCGGCGCGGGCGGCACGTGGTGGCGCCGCTGGCAGCCCCGGGTGTGGGCGCTCTTCGAGGACCCCTACTCGTCGCGGGCCGCCAGGGTGAGCGCTTTCTCAGAGCCCCCATCCCCCTCCCCTCTCCAGGAGCTCCCAGACCCTCAGGGAGCTCCCCATCCTCGCCCTCAGCCCCTGACCCCTGTCAGACCCTCCTGGTCTCTTAGCCTCCCAGTTTCTTAGAAGCCTCTTACCCCATTCCTGGGTCTCCCGTACCCCTCTGAACACATCCCCTTCTCCTGGCCATCCCCAGATTCTCAGAAGATGTTTCTCCAACTTTCAGAACCCTCCAGACCTGTTTCAACCCCACCCTGCTTCTCTAGTCCATCCTAGACGCTTAGAAACTTCTTCTCTGATGGGCCAATCTCCTGAACAACTTCCCTGAACAGCCCCACCCCCTCCTTTCCTGGACCCCGCTAGAGAACTTTCAGAAGATGTTTACTCAACCCTCAGAGTCTTCCCAGACTCTTTTCACCTCTTCTCACCTCTCTGGGCACCTTTCAGACTCTCAGCAGACTCTCCCCCCAGCCTTCAGTTTCTTGGTCCTCGCTAAATCCTCAGAAGACATCGCTTCCTAACCTTCAAAGTGTCCCAGGGCTTGTGAACACTGTCTCCATCCCCTGCAGACCCCGTGAAGCCCGCCCTTCAGTTCTCCTGCCTTCAATCCTGCAGGCTCTCCCAGCACCTCTCTCTCCCTCTGCCCGTCTCCGAATCCCCTGCCTCTCTCCAAGTTTGCGTCTCCTGGTTATCTTTGAGCCCCTCTGCTTCTTCTGCCTTTTAAGTCTCAGCATAGTTTCCACCCCACTCTCAGAGTGCCCCGGACCCCTCTGAACCTCCAAACCACTTGCTTCTGCTAGGACACTCCCCCCTCACCCCCACTGCAACGCTGAGTCTTGGGGCATCTTCTCTCCTGGAACCTTGCTGCCCCCTCTGTGTTTCACATCCCTTCTCGCATCCTTCACACCAACTCCTCTCCTGAGGATTTCTCAATACAGCTCCAGACTTTCCCCAAGGCTTTCACACTCCTCCTCAATGTCTCCAGAAGAGTCCCGAGCCCCCAGAATGTCTTTCGTCTCCAGAACTTCCCATATGCCCTCTAGAATCGCTTCTGCCTCATCCACAGATTCTCCCAGCTTCTCCGTTCCATTGTTTAAACTGCAGAGCCCACTCTCTATCTCTGGGACAACCCCACCCCTACCCCCATCCTCAGCCTCCCAGTCTTTTTCCTAGTCAGTAAATGACTTTCCTCCCTGCTCCATAACTTTTACCTAACCTCAATCCTTAGGACCCTCAGGTTATCAGACCCAAAACTTCCTTCTCAAAATAGCTCCCAGTTCTTTCTTGGTTTCTTTCCACCTGTCCCCCCATCCCCAGCTCCAATCCCTGCTCGCTTCATCTTTCTCAAAACCCCCGCCCCCCACTACCCAGTCTGAAGCCTAGAACTGGGCTCCTCAGCCCCTCCTGACCCCCCTCCCTGCAAAGTGAACCAAAGAGCCCACACTCCAGCCTTATCCTGTCTCCCACCTTATTGCCCTCAAAATTCTAGACTTCCTCCAAAGATCTCATCTCCCACCTAAAAAACTTCCCTCAAAAATCTGTAACTTCTTTGGCTAAATAGCTCCCCTCCGCCCTAGTTCTCACTTGAACCTCTTCCTCCTCCTAACTTCATTCCTGTGTGATGGAGAGAGGACAGTTCAAGATAGGGGGACTTAGAGAAAGGAGGGAAAGAGGAGAGACTCCAGCCCCCCTCCGAGCCTCCTGGGGACCCAAACACCTGGAGGAGCCGTCCGGCACCCTCCCCCCACCGTGCCGCGTCCTGGGCCGGGAAGGACGAGGAGCCGCAGTGCCGCATTCGCGCCGGGGGAGGGACTGAGAGGGAGGGGGGCCCGGAGGCACCGCATAAAGTTTGGTCCCCGGGAAGCGCTGAGTTGGCAGGATTTGGGTTTGGGGTGGGGGGAGGTGGGGGAGAAGAGGTGCGGAAGGGACGTGGCCCTAGATGCCCCCTCAGGCCTGTCACCCTCTGGAGAGTCACCCTCCCTCCATGGCCTGGGGCGCCCTTCCCTCTTGTGATCCCATTGAAGGGTCCTGAGGTGAAGCTAGGGGTTCAGGACAGCTCCGGAGGACATTTTATTTACTTTACAGCTGTGTTTTGCGTGTCCGTGTAGCACTTTCTAGCCTTCAAGTGAAAGTCTGAGAGTCGAGAGCTGAAGCCAGAGCAAAGTGGAGGGTCCGGTTTCCTTCCGCCTCGCTCCCCTCTCCGTAATCTCCCCTTCCTTCTTACAGGACTCCATGCCCTCCTACCCCTTCTGCTTTTGAACCATCTCGGGACAAGGGGGTAAACCAGTCCTGGCTCTGTCCAGCTGCGCACTGCGGCGGGTGACGGCCTTTCTTTCTGTGTCCCGGGAGGGAAGGAGTTACTCAAGCTCCTGGCCTGTGGCCTCCCTCTGTGAAGCGGCACCGCGGCTGCGCACCGCCTGCTCAGCTCCGGCCGGGTAGGGGTTAAGACTGCTCCGAGTCCCTGCGGCTGCGCACTGCGGCGGGGGAGCTGTCCGTGGTGCTGGCCACAGCGCGCCCCGCCCCCTGGGCCGGCCGGCCCGCCCCCACTGCGGTGCCGCAGCCAGCGCTGTGCGCCGGGTTCCGAGTGGGGTGCGGGGGGAGCACCGGGCATGCGCTCTGCGCCGGCCTCTGGCCTCTTAAACCACTGCGGAGAAACGAAGAGGGGGGGTGGGGCAGAGGGCCAGCTCTGACCCTCCCTCCCCCCAGGCTACCCCAAGGTCTAGGGTCATCTCTGCAGCCCAGTGCTGGCTCTTCTCTCTTCTCTGCAGCCCAGCCTCTCTCTCTCGTCTACTCACCTGATTAAAGCTCTCTCTGCCTCAACGCCCATCCCCTTCTCTCAGGACTAACCCTACTGCTTTGACCTCCCTTCTACATATTTGATAAAGCCAACTACCATTCCTAGAGGCCTTCAAGATCTTGACCCTGCCTTCAGTCCTCAAGGCCTTCATCAAAACCCACACCACTGAGCGCTTGGGACACAGATCCTTCCTCATCTTGAGATGACCCAGGCAGCCCATACCTCAGGTCATACCTCTGACCAGTCCCCTCACCTCTCCTTGGACCTAGCCCGGTCCTCTCCCCTTCCTCTGTGCCCAAGCCCTGGACATTCCCTTCCTTTCCAGAGCCTTAAACCCCATCCCTATCATCCCTTTTTTTCAGTCTTGACCCTTCACTTCCCTCTTTATTCAGAGCCCTGACACCGCTCCTGTCATCTGTGGGCCCACCCCTTCGCTGTCCTCTGGGTGAGGGGCTCACCCAACCTTCTCTGTTTTCTTGGACCCGGTCATTAGCATCATGGTCCTTAAATATTGATACCTGAGGTCTCAACCTTGGCCCCCCTTTAACTGATGCCCCTATACCCTAACAAAAGCTCAAGCACTGGTTTTGGAGCCAAGTCCTTTGCATATTCATCTAATGTAATCCTTACAATAACCCTGTAAAAATAAAACACCAAAACTTGAGGTTCAGAAGGCTTAATCTTGCCCAATTAAGCAGAGAAAAAGCTGGATTCAAACCCAGGCTTTCCTACTCTTAACCACCTCCTGGTTCTGCTTCCCCACCCACCTTCTCCCCTTTCCCTTCCCCCCAGTTCCAAGCCAAGCCCCAAAGCCCTGAGGCACAGGATGCATGATTTCAGTCTCCCTTCCCCCATCCCCCAGCAGAATCACTGGACCCTGCCAGGGACCCCTGAGATATGACACAGGGAACAGGAGGGTTGGGGGGGGTGGTCTAGGAGACAGAGCACAGAGCCAGAAATTGCTGTTTCCAGGAAAGAAGTGGACCATCTGCTGCTGCGGCTGGGGCCAGCTCCTCTCCCAAGCTGGGGGAGAGCTGCCTCTGATCCTTTTGCAAGCTTTAGAGAGAAAAGGATGCAAGAAGCGATGGACGCATTGGGGCTGGGACACCCGGATTCCCCTGGAGTTTGGGTCTGAGAAAGGGGCCACTGGGTGGGTCTTGGGTAGATGGCTGGTCGACCAGATGCCTGGGTCACCTTTTGCCCTTTTTCTCCCACCCTGCCCCACAGTATGTGGCATTCGCCTCCCTCTTCTTCATCCTCATCTCCATCACCACCTTCTGCCTGGAGACCCACGAGGGCTTCATCCACATCAGTAACAAGACAGTGACACAAGCCTCCCCGATCCCTGGGGCTCCGCCGGAGAACATCACCAATGTGGAGGTGGAGACAGAGCCCTTCCTGACCTATGTGGAGGGCGTGTGCGTGGTCTGGTTCACCTTTGAGTTTCTCATGCGCATCACCTTCTGCCCAGATAAGGTGGAATTTCTCAAGAGCAGCCTCAACATCATTGACTGTGTGGCCATCTTGCCCTTCTATCTGGAGGTGGGGCTCTCCGGCCTCAGCTCCAAGGCTGCCAAAGACGTGCTGGGCTTCCTGCGGGTTGTCCGCTTCGTCCGGATCCTGCGGATCTTCAAGCTCACGCGGCACTTTGTGGGGCTGCGCGTGCTCGGCCATACGCTCCGCGCTAGCACCAACGAGTTCCTGCTGCTCATCATCTTCCTGGCCCTGGGTGTGCTCATTTTCGCCACCATGATCTACTATGCCGAGCGCATCGGCGCCGACCCCAACGACATCCTGGGCTCCAACCACACCTACTTCAAGAACATCCCCATCGGCTTCTGGTGGGCCGTGGTCACCATGACAACCCTGGGCTATGGAGACATGTACCCCAAGACATGGTCGGGGATGCTGGTCGGGGCGCTGTGTGCCCTGGCTGGGGTGCTCACCATCGCCATGCCGGTGCCAGTCATTGTGAACAACTTCGGCATGTACTATTCGCTGGCCATGGCCAAACAGAAGCTGCCCAAGAAGAAGAACAAACACATTCCCCGGCCCCCGCAGCCTGGCTCACCCAACTATTGCAAGCCCGACCCGCCCCCGCCCCCCCCACTCCCTCCTCACCATGGCAGCGGCGGCATCAGCCCCCCACCCCCCATCACCCCGCCCTCCATGGGGGTGACTGTGGCCGGGGCTTACCCGCCGGGCCCCCACACACACCCCGGGCTGCTCAGGGGGGGAGCGGGTGGGCTCGGAATCATGGGGCTGCCTCCTCTGCCGGCCCCTGGGGAGCCCTGCCCATTGGCTCAGGAGGAAGTGGTTGAGATCAACCGGGCAGGTGAGGAGGGGTCACCAGGGGTGGGGGTGGGGGGAGTGGGCAGGCAGAGGTGGGGTGGTGCTGAGGGGGGCAGGAGGTATGTGCTGAGGCTCGGAGGTGGTCAGCAACGGACACGGGAAAGAGGAAAGGGAACAGTGATGGAGAAGCAGGTTTCGTGTGAAAGAGTTTTAGGGAGAGACAGACCTGCAGCCAAGGTATTCAGGGGGAGGGCAGAGTGATCAGCCATATGGTGAGAGGGACTCAGAGAAAAGGGGGGTTCAGAGAGACACAGGGAGGGAGTTTCACGTGGGAATCGAGGGCCTGAGACAGAGGCCAGGGCAGCTGCAGCTTATGTGATGAAGGAAATGAGAGGAAAGTTGACTGAGCCTGTGCATCCCTCCCCCCAGGGGAGTCTGTGTCTCAGAAGCAGCGACTGGGGCATCTGTCTGGGGGGAGGGAGAGGCTGGGGGGCCCCACCCCCATGCCTTAAATAGGTCAAGAAAGGGAGCTGGGCCACCCGGCCCCCCATCTTGCTCCCTCAGCCACTGACCCAGTTTCACACCAATTAAAAATAGCCGGAGTCAGAGCCTAGGGGACCCCCACCTCCCCCTCCCTCATCTGTCACCTTCCCAACGCCTCCCCGCTGTGCCCTTGCCAGTGTCCAACACCCCTCCCTGAAGAACCAGCTCCCAGCCTGCTCACCTCTCCCAACCATCCTTCCAAACCTATCCCACAGCACGCACCCGAGCCTAGCTGTGCCCCGTTTGGTCCATTTCAACCACGCAGCCCACCAGTGCCCAGCTCACTTCCCAAACACCTCTTCCCTGTTCCTGTTCCTCCAAACACCCAACACCCTCACCCAGTGCCGCTCTTCTCCACACCCAGTGCCTGGCCTGGCTCCACTTCCTGGCCTTCGACACCCTTCCCTGCTATCCTTCCCAAGACTCGCCACGACCCTGCTCCCCACGACCCTGGCTCCCCTGCCAGCCACACCCCCTGACCCCTGGCACCTCTGGCGCCCTCTCCTCCCTGAGTTCCCACACCTCACTGTCACCTTTGTGTCTCTGTCTGCCCCTCCGGACACAGATCCCCGCCCCAACGGGGACCCTGCAGCTGCTGCGCTGGCCCATGAGGACTGCCCGGCCATTGACCAGCCCGCCATGTCCCCGGAAGACAAGAGTCCCATCACTCCTGGGAGCCGGGGCCGCTATGGCCGGGACCGAGCCTGCTTCCTCCTCACCGACTACGCCCCATCCCCTGATGGCTCCATCCGGAAAGGTGAGGTGCCCCCCACTGCCCGGCCCCCTGGGACCCTCCCTCTCTCCCCTCCCCCCTAGGGGAGGGGAGAGAGGGAGATGGGGGAGGAGGTGCTGGACTTCCCTTCCCCCACCTCCTGGCCCCCAACTCCCTCCCCTGAATTTCCTCACCACTGACCCTTCACCTGTCTTTATTGCATCTCCATTCCCCCACCCCACCCCACCCTGGACCCTCTGGCCTCTTCCCCCACCCCCAGCCACCGGTGCTCCCCCACTGCCCCCCCCAGACTGGCGTAAGCCAGGCCCCCCAAGCTTCTTGCCCGACCTCAACGCCAACGCTGCGGCCTGGATATCCCCCTAGTGGACGAACCCCCTCCCCCCGGGGTAAGTAGCCCCCACCCCTCTGAATCCCTTCCCTCCTGACTAACCCATCTGAGATCATGCAGCCCCCACTGACCGAGACTCCCACCCCCTCACTGTGAACAGCTCCATCCAAGTAACCCCCGGCCCTGACACTGATCCCACACCCATCTGCCCAGGACTTGCCCTGCCTCTCACTAACTGCTAGAACTCACCCCACCCCTCCCCACCATGTGCCTGACCCCCCCACCAATGGCCTCACGACTGACCTCCATCCTCACCCCATCCACATCTCTCCCCCTGCCTCCCCACCTTGGTTTTGCTTTTGTTTGTTTAATCAAGAAAAGGGGGCACACACCCAGAACATTCTTCTGAGGACAGGATGGGGTGAGAAGGACTGAGCCACTTATGCAGTCACTCATGGCTTGGCCAGCACTTAGCAAGTACCCACACACATGTTCCTGGCACAGTGCTGAGCGTGGGGAATCAACGGGGAGCATATCAACCCCGCCCCCGACCCCCAGTTTGGTGGGAGAGGCAGATGCTGACCCAGACCTGAGGCAGGAGAGCAGGCTGAGCTGAGGGCCTGTCCTGGGATCTGGGGAGAAGCAGATCAAACATGAGTTTGCACAAGCTCTGGGAGTTGGGGACGGACAGGGAGGCCTGGCGTGCTGCAGTCCGTGGGGTCACAAACAGTCGGATATGACTGAGCGACTGAACTGAACTGAGCTCCACTCTGGGACTTCGTGAGGAGGCACTGGAGTGGGGAGACAGCGGGTCTGGAGGCTGAGGTGCAGGCTGGGATGAGGGGCCTGTGGGAGAGGACAAAGCCTGAGTTATGGGGATGGGGGGAGAAGAGAGGCAGAGGAAAGGGGCCAGGACTGGACAGTGGGGAGGTCAGAGAGAGTGAGGAGACAGTGGACGAATTATCCAGCAAATGTAACCATGCACTTTCCACATGCTCTGTATTCTATAATCCTCACAACAACCCCAGCTAACCCCTAACTTGACTCATTCAGCAGCTAATGATTGAGGGTATAGTTCCAGGCACTGGAGATTTGGCAGGGCCCAAAGCACAGATCTCCCATCACAGAGCTGATACTCTAGAGCCCTGTGGCAACGGACTATAGCCAAGGGCCAAACCTGTGCACCAGTTGTTTTGTAAATAAAACTTTATTGGAACACAGCCACTGTCTACAACAGCAGAATGGAATAGTTTCAACAGAGATGGTAATGGCCCACAGAGCCCCGGAAATATCGACTGTCTGGCCCTTTACAGGGAAATTTCTCCACTCCATGAATGGGGGAAGCAGAAAACAAACAAGATAATTACTCTAACCAGGTCAGATAAAGGGGTCTGTGAAGGTCTTTCTGAGAAGGTGACCTAAAACTTGAAGCTCAAAAAGGACCAGCGGGCAGAAGAAAGAGCAAGCTCAAAGGCCCTGAGGTGCAGAGGTGGGATGCCCCTGGTTTGTTAAAGGAACAGCAGGGAGGAAAGTGTGGTTGGAGTTGAATGGCCAAGAGGAGAGGGGAGGAGCCTGGAGGGAAGTGTTTTTGGCCATGATGAGAGGCTGGATTTGATCTTAAAAGTGTTGAGAAGCCACCTGAAGGCACCTGGTCTGTCACTTATTCATTCAACAGACACCTATGGAGTCTTCCTTCCAAATGCAGAGATACAGCTTAAAGAATCCCTAGCCGCAGCCTAAGGAGATGGCAGAGCAGGACTCAGGGAGCCTCCAAGGAAAACTGCATCTAAAGCCCCTTGTTTCACAGACACTCAGAGAGGGCCATGGCCAACCCCCAGCCACAGAGCAGATGCGGGACAAGAAGCAGGCTTCCGGGCTCCTAGTCCAGAGGGGACTGTCTGGCTCTTGTTCCATTCCCGGACCTCTCCTGTTGCAGCCACCCCCACCTCTCCCCCATCATCCTCCCCTGTCATCTCATTACCAACCCCCACCTCCCTGTTCCCATCTCAGCCCACCCCCCGCTTGCACCCAGCCCTGTTGCCTACTCCTTTTGTTCCCCCACCCCCAGGTCTGGATGGGCCCCTATGAAATTGAGGGGTGGGGCAGGAGGACTTGGGAATGTGGGTAAGGGAGGGGTGGGGGGATTGGCAGGGGGGAGGCGGGTAGGTCTCTGCTTCTTTTGCCTCTGATGCCAAAATCCATTCATTGAACTCAAATAATGGCTGGAGCTGATGGGGCTGGCTGAACTCCCTCCCCCAAGGTCCTGGATCCCTACCCCTTCCACGCCTGCCTTCCTCTTAGCTTCTCCCTCACCCTCCACTGTTCCCTACCCCTCTTCTTTCAAGACCCTTCCTCCTGACCTGGTCCCCACCCACCCCATCAACCCCCTTCTCTGTCTTCCCTCAGGTGCTGCTGGGTCCAGCACCTGACCCGCATCCCCCACCCCTTCCCCAGTACTCCCCCTCCTCTCTCCCTTCATCTTCCCCCCACCCCGAAAGCCACCCCGGAAGCTCCTTCCATATTTGATGTCTCTGGCCGCCCGCATTTCACTGCTCCCCTCCCGCGGAAAACACCAGAGAGGAGGAAGAGATCCCGGCGTTTCTCCGGCCCCCCAACAGTGAGGCTGTGTTGGGGGGTTCTCCCTGGCCACCCTCCCCCCGCCGTGACTCTGTGTATTTCTGTCCCCAGCTCTTGTCACCGCCTGAGACCTCGCGAGACCCTCGATCCCCCCCTGCCCCTTTCCCCCAGGTTAGCAATTGGGAATGGCTGGGAGGGGGTGACTCCAAGATACTGGGCTTCTGACCCCCCGACCCAGGCCCTGTCTTCTCCTGTCAAGGTGCCCGCATCCAGACAGATCCCTTGGTACTGGCCAGGAAAGCCCTAGAACAGCCCAGATACTGGCAGAACTCTCAAGACATTCCTAAGTTTTCAAGAAACCTCACACCTGCCCCTAAGCCTTAGATCCCTTGAGTATCAAGACACTGTCAGGACCTTCCCATCAGAAGGTTCCCATCTGAAAGCCTTTAAAGACAGCCCATTACAAGCCTCCGCGGAGCCTCGCCACCTCGGACTGCTCTTGGAGCTGTCCTTCAGCACCACGCCACCGCGGGCCCCACTCGGGGGGGGCACTGCCGACTAGTGCTCACAGCCCGCCCCCCACACCCCGTCCTCTTTCTCCGTCCAGGTTAACCCCCCACCGCCTGCGGCCCCACCCAC